CTTCTCTTCCCGCTGTAAGCGTAGTCGCTCCTGTCGTTCTTTCTCCTTCTGTATCTTCTCTTCGTGCCTCCTGCGTTCCTCCTCTTTCCTCTTCAGCTCGGCCGCGGCCAGTTGCTGCAGCCGCCTCTTCGCCTGCTCCTCTGCTTCCGTCTGGCGCTGATCCTCCTCCAGTTTCATCACGTAGGCTTCGGCTTGTCGCTGGACCTCTTCTCGTTTTCGAAGGTCCTCCCGTTTCCTCCGCTCCTCCCGTCTTCTCTGCTCTTCCTCCTGCCGGCGCTGTTCCTGCTTTTGCCGCTCTTCCCTCTGTTGTTCCAGCATTTGCTGTTCCTGCCACTGCTGCTCCTCCATCTGCTTTTGCTTCATCATCTCTTCCTGTTGCCAAGTCGGTTTCTGGGGATGGAGAAATTAGGGCCACAAAAAATATTAAGTTACAGATGTTCTTGCTGGTAAATGTCATGACTGATAATCTGGTAAGGTACATGGACCTGAAACTTTAGCTGTTGGTAACCAACAACAAGCATTGTTATACCTCTCTCTTGAACACCGTATTTTCATTGGCCCAGAACAATCACGTGTTAAGGTCATACAAAGTCATGGCACAGTCCCTGTAGGGTATCACGTATGTACATACCTGAGATACGGTATGTACGGTACGTACGGTGTCAAACGCTTGTATCATTGGTACCCATGCTATTTTCACCATATTTTCACACATCAGTGGGAGCAGCGAACTAGCAGACGATCAGCTGTTTCGAGCACGCAACATGCTGTGAAATAAGTAAAGTCTGTCGCGAGCCAATGTGGCTCATCAGGCCGGCGTTTATCTCCGGTTTCAGTAGCATGAAACAACTGAGAATATTTCTACTCCCCCTGGATAGGATGCTAGTCCATCGCAGGTTACTCCCCAGCTAATGCCAGTACCCATTCATACTCCTGGGTGGAGAGAGGCAAGTGGGGGTGAAGTGCCTTGCCCAAGGACACAATATATGACCAGCGGCTGGATTCGAACCCCGGACCCTCTGATCATGAGTAACGAACCGTAACCACTAGGCCACACACTCCCCCTTAATGCTGTTTGTTTTCATGATTTTTACATCAAAATCCAAAGAATCCAAGACAAAGGTATAACAAAACAATTATTGACTGCCTCGATGTGGGATATCACGTTTTGAGCACACTCGGGGTGCATAACATCCTCAGGGTACACAGCAGCCGATGTAGTCCAGACAATATAAGGTTTGACCTCAAACAAATTGCAACAGAAATTTTTTACCACAGTGCATTTCTTTAAGGTCCCTAAAATGACATACTAAAAGTCCAAAAAAATCCAAGTGGTGGAAATATGCCTCATTTGCATAAATCCAAAATTGCCGCATATTTTAGGACTTTCACAATGATTTGGTCATATTTCTCATACTATTAGCTTCTTGAGGAACTTTAAACAACAATTTTAGTCCTTTTACATTGATTTTATCATTATTCTAGTCCTAGGTAAATTTCAAGATCCCTATGTTTCCCAAATTTGCCAAATGCTGTATATTAATTTGCATAAATTAAAGTTACAATTATGGCTGTCATGTGTTGACACCACAACTGAATTTTCCCTAATAACTTCTAGTTCAGTTACATGTATGTATACATAAATATCACACCACAGAGCATCTCTGTATGGTCCCGAAAAAAAAGTACCAAAAAATCCAAGTGGTGGAAATATGCTTAATTTGCATAAATTCAAAATAGCCACTAATTATATGATTTTCATATTGATTTGGCCATAACTCTCGTCCTACATTGCTTTTTGGGGTACTTTAAACAACAATATGTCCTTTTACATTGATGTCATCATTATTCTAGTCCTGGGAACCTTTCTAGGTCCCTATGTTTCCCAAATTTGCCAAATGCCGTATAATAATCTCGGGCGTTCAAAACATCATATCCCACATCACAGCAGTCAACAATTGTTAACTGAAGCGATGCGGTCTTCTCAACAGTATTAACCATTTTTGGCCGGCCATCTACAGTCAGTTACTTTATGATTGTATGTAAAATGGATGTGTGCATGTACCGTACCATAACAATGTTATGATTGCTGGCCGCAATTTTGGGGAAAATCAACATGTGCAAAAAACACCCAAATTAAAAAACTAAAAAAAAAAAAAAATTTCTTTTTTTTTAAGTCATTGAAAGGAAAACTTTGGGACCTAGAAAAAGAAGATTGGACCACTCTAAAGTCATTCTATATTAATCTTGCAACAGTTTTAATTATTAAAACCAAATTCATTCAGTGGTGGGAGAATTAGGAGATTTCAAAATCTGGTTATCCTAATTTCTTTTCCAAACCGAATCATGTTTATCCTATTTCACCGGAACTTCCCATCTAGCTCGCTAGTCATGCCAACAAAATGTGACAAGTGACCAAGTTCTCAAGAATTAATCGCATTTACCATTTGCCTTTTGTTAACCTTTTAACTGCGGTACCCGATTTACGTTTTTGTCTGCGAGGCATCAGAATTTTGCATAAGGCCTACATGAATTTTTTTTGAATAATCAAGACCTTGAATGATGGGGACGTCCCATTTGATTTCTAAACCAGGAAGCAGAAGTTTCTTTGTTGGGAGCTCATTGAAGTTGATTTTCTCACAAAACTTGCTTTGAAAACTGATAGCATTATTGAAAAAAACTTTCACTATTAAAAAGTATTAAGTCTCCTAAACAAGGGAAACTATTGGAAGTGCAGCTGGGCCTGCAATCACGTAGGAATGCTTCACTTTTATATTGTGAAAGTTGATTGACTTCAGTTGAAAGAAATACTTCACTTTCGTAATGTGAAAGTTGATTCAGTTGGTAGTAACCAGTTCGTCATAACGCGTAGCTCTGTCAACTCATTAAACTTCTCTGTGCAATAACCAAAGAGGGCGCTATTTACAGAAAGTAACACCCCCCCAGTTACTCCACAAAAATATGATGGTTCCTATATTTTAATGGTTCCCATTTCACACTTATCCTGTAACATTTAAGAATGACTAAACACCAGGGAAGGTGGGGTTTGTGCAGAATAATGCTCATATTCCCTCACCTACGTGTACCTATCTTGAGGAGGTAGTTGGGCAAGCCCCTCCCCAATACACCCAACACTACTGGACATTTTATCAACATCATTTTTGACCGAAAAGGTATTTATGAATGGGAATAAATATGTACTTGATCGGTATTACAAACACTATAAGACCAATTGCAGTCTGTAGGCTGATAATGACCCGAATATCAACATCCAGACTCCAACTGGTGTGGAGTGTTTAAAACCGGCCAACAAAAATCTTTTAACAAATGAAAATGTTACAGAAAGACTTTCTTGGAGATCTAATTATATTACTAGTATTCATGGCATTACAAATGCAATTAAGGCCAAAAAGAAAAGTCTCCGGTTTCTGGTATGGAGCTTGCTATTTTTTTTCTTACTTTTTTTTTTTTGCTTCAAGTGTCAGCTGATGACTGCAAAATGGTGCCCGACTAAATTTAGTGCAAATATATGAGAGTCCAGACGTGCCAGAGAGGCCAAATAAAGCTTATTCTCGATCATAACCCCATCAAAAAACACGTTAAATTTGTGCAGCAGCAGGATTCCAGTCAAACCAGTGAGGTTGGCGGTTTTGAGACATCATCTTTCTTTGAATTTTTTTTTTTCATTTTGCCGACGCGCATGGCTACGGCGACGCGCGCGCATACCAGAAACCAGATACTATTTTGGGGGGCCTAATTCAGGGGGAACCCATAGAAAACAAGGATTGCATAAAACAAGAAGAAGCCCCCAGATGGAACGACAAAGGAAACACACATAATAACAGCATAGAAGATACATTAAGTTTAATACCATTACAATCTTTGTACAAATGTAATACATTTCCTTTTCAATTTACATGGAAACAACAGTCAGCAATATCTGTCTATGCCGGTTGTTCTATGTACAGTGTCATTTACAGACATGTGACGATCAAAAGAGTGTTTAGACTTAATTTATTTTACATTGGAAATCTGTTGATTTGTGGAAATCAAAAATGCAGTGGTAGAAGGAGTTGGGTTATTTCTTTAAAACAAAGTAAGCCATGCCTCCCCAACACAAAACTGACGTCAGTGAATACCGGTGTTTCTCATTTGTGTTTCTCAACGATAAATGAATTACTATGCAGCTTTTGGAAGTTAAAGAAACTTTTGGAAGAGAGGATTCAGTGCTGAAATTAATCCTCCAGGTTCGGTTCGGTTCACTTCATATCTGATTTTTTTTCCTCGAACGATCGGTTCGGATCGGAAGTACATGTACAATGTAATATACACCTGTACGTTTGCCAGATCGCGTTGTAAATCGGCTTTTGGTAAGTCGCCATCTCGCTCACGTCGGCATGTTACTCTCGGTCCCCAACAAAAAGCGCAACGAAATCTTTTGTGTAAATTTAGAAAATCACGCATTGGCATCGACTTCCTGCACTACGATTGCAGTAAAAAAATACATGAACATTGCAATAAAAAAGTGGTTTCTCCAATACATGCAATACCACATCGTGTGCAATACCAGTAACCCCTCTAGCCTGCACGAAGGCGCTCTGTCTATTTTGGGGGTCTTTTTATTTATTAAACGATGCAGTGATTTTACTTACCACGCGCAACCTGTATTATGTACACATGGTCTACACTATAGCAATGCTACGTTGTACCGATTATGCACACCAAAGACAGACAATCGCGGAGTTTAGCCCACCAAACAATGAAGATGAATATAGTGACTTGTTAACACTGTGAATTCAATCATTCATGAATTTCAATTTTGCCCTTTCATTCCAAGCGTTAGCATTTCTAGCACTATCAAAAAAGTAAATTTCCCAAACTTCTAAACCGACAATTTCGGTTCAGTTCAGTTCGGTTCGGAATGCCATGTTTGGCTATTTTTAATTCGGTTTGGGGTTCGGCTGCAGCACTATGAGGATAACATTATTTCTTTTCTTTTCTCTCTAGGAGGGGAGTTTGGCCTTTGGATCCTATGATCTGATTCTATCTGCAGGACCTGCTCTTGGTAATGTCTGCAAAGGGATATTGTTCGTTGGTACTTGCTGCCTTTTTCTGCAGCAGAAGGCTTGCTTAAAGGCCTTCCTGTACCTTCCACTACCAGCATTGAATATGACTGAATTAATGGAAGAGTTCAAGACTCTGAGGCAAGCAGTTGTCAGATCCAACTTCTTTCTCACATCATCAGTTACATGAACGATTAGCCTGATTTGCACTAAAATACTAACTAGGGCAATTACAACTTGGGGCAGAGAACAGACAAATACCACGGCTGTGTTGATGCCAAGTATCAGAGTCACTCTTCGTAGATGTTTTGACGGACCTCGGATCTGATCACCAGTTGGATTTGGTGCATGCAGTCCCTTAATAAGGAGCATATTGAAAGTGACCGTGAGGATCAAACTCAACATGAATACACAGAAAAAAAGGCAATATAAAACCAGATCCAAAGTGACAAAAGTTGCATCGGTATTCATAAACACCTGCACATTACTTGATAAATGTTTATACTTTTCTTCAGTTGGCCAAACAAGACATTTAACTGGTGGTACATTAAATCCTAGAAACTGAAAAACGAAACCAATCAAATTCAAGGAAATAGACAGAAACCATATGCAGACTGCTGCTCGAATTGCCCGTCGCTTCAGATTGAGATTACGGTGTTGGAAAGGGTAACAAATGGCAAAATATCTATCATATGACAGCAGTGTTACAAAGGCTAAAGATGACATAGTACCCACATCTCCAGTGTACGATATGAAAGTATGAAATGCTTGGGCTGAGATCCCCAAACATGACGCATCAAATTCATTCTGTGTTTTCAAAGCCTCACATTGCTCTTGAGTGGCCTTTGCAATCAAGACCATCAAATCTGCAACTGCCAAATTAGTCAAGTAGAAATTAGTGATATTCCGCATGGAGGGAACTCTGCAAAGGGTAAAGAAAAAAGACAGAATGGATAGGATCCCTAATAGTTTGAGGACAGGAATAACAAAACCATACATTACAGTCTGAGCATTGGAATACACAAACTTGTCAGCCTCTGCTGGATTCTGAAAAGCAAGGATTTGCAATGAGTGGTTCAACAGTTTGTATCTTTCATTGCTTGGTACATCAAAGGATTCGTTCATTGGTGCCCAGGGAGATGGTCCCGTTACATCCCAGATAAATAGATGGTCCATCTGGGTTACGGAATACGCCATCACAGAGCAGTTGTCGCTGTGGTTCTGGGCGACACAGGTGAAGAAGGTACAGACCAGAATGTCCAGCTGAGCAAGGGACGTTGCAGCTTGGGCATAGACGGTGACATTTGCGTAGTACCACCACATGATTGACTCAGAGTCTTGCTTCTTGTGTGTAGCCTTTTGCAGTGTCTAGTATGTGATTGTTCAGTGTCTTGTACAGATAACGTGGGGTGAAGAACACAGCACAAATTTGCTCGCTGGATGGGTAGCTAAACAACAGATTGGTTTGCAGATGACGACAAAATCAAGCAAGACAAGTTTGACTGCAGGATACCTGCAGGTTTGTTCAGCAGCAAGGGGTTTGCCTCTCAAAAAGTACACCGAAAAACTAAACTCTGTACAAGTACATGAAGTAACATCTAAAATAGAAGTTGCTGTTCCACAGTACAGTTTCAGAAAGTTTCCCACCAAAGACTTTTGTAGCCACTGTTCTGTGTATTTCACTGCTTCCAATTTAACAGAGAAAAGAACTGGAGTCTGTACAAGAATTATTTGTCCTTTTAAGTCAATTTATTGACAGCTAATGTGATGCAAAGTTGTCACCCGATCATGTTATGGAGTCGGCAACAGCAAGGGCTGTCCATAATACATGCGGCCAATTTTGCATCGAGATCTGATGGCTCTGGTGAACTGGACGGCCTGAGATGAGAACTGATGTCAAGTTTGATTGCTGGTTGACTTGAAACGGAGAGAGTGCATAAGCGTTACAGGCTCAAGGTGCAGTGAACACCATGCATTGTTGGGTTCAGACTTTGGAACAGTGATGTACTGTGATGAGGCTGGTGAGAAAATGCAAAATGATCTTGACGTTCAAATTTTCCATTTAAATACTCTCATTGGCGCATCACATCGAAACTGACATACTTGCGGTCACTTTCCCTCTACGAAGTTAACTTGAACATAGAGTGCTTAACTTAAAATGACCAAATGCCAAATCAAAACTGACAAGCAACTTTCACCCTGATTATGTTGTATGTAACAAATTTCAAACATGTGGCTTTTCTTGGTTTTGTATTTGTTTGCTCTTAGAATTGATTTTTTGTTTTTATCAAGAAAGTTGCCTCAAAACCGATACCATGTTATTTACATATAAATTCGCGTGTTAGCAAACATGTGGCTTTTCTTGGTTTTGTATTTGTGTGCTCTAAGAATTGATTTTGGTTTTTTATCACAAAAAGTTGTCTCAAAACCGATACCTCATTATTTACTTATAAATTCACATGTTAGCATTCAGATAAATATTTAAAATACAGCTACCGGTAGGCCTTTCACTTTGCACTTCTGTATTGTGCAAGTTCATGAAATAAGTTGGTCAACAATTTAACCAAATTGGGAAAACTGATCAATAAAGTCTGTTTTCATTAAATATTGTAGAACTACTCTGTACGTGGCCCCTTTGCGGAGGTAGCCTTATGCAACAATTTTTGATTGACAGCTCAGGTCACCAGCCTCCATTCACTGATTATAGTGGGACACGCCCACCACAGACCACAAACTGACTCTTGAGAATTGCCAGTCCACAGTCTACTCATAGCTCTATGGTCTACTATACAGGGTGGCCCCCAATGGCATACTTCTTCTACCTTGAGACTCAAACTACCTGTACCAATGGATGGAGAATCTTCTTAGAAGAAATATGATACAATGATCTCCTGATTCGGTCCAGTAGTTTTTGCTGCAGATCCCATATTGTGAAGCACACATCTTTCATGAGGGCGTTATTATACAAATATTGAGTGGCTCAGAGTGGAATGGGAGGAATATTATCACAAGGTAATATCTGGACTTTTCTGTGTCACCAGGCCAAGCTGACTGAAATGGAAAAGTCCAGATTTTACTGAGCGATGATATTCCTCCCATTTCACAATTTTCCCAAATTTCAAGTTCCTAAGTAAAGTATTTCTCAAGTTATCGTGCCGACAAGAGTTAACCAAACCAAAACATAACACACACACAGACATACATGTTTGTGTATGGTGTAAATGGAGACTTTTCTTTTGTTCCTCTTCCCAAAAGTGTGACTAAAAAGGCATTGAAGAAAAACTTCGGGTCCTAGAAAAATATTGGACCACTCTCAAGTCATTCTACAAATCTCGCAACAGTTTTAATTATTTAACCCCAAGTCTTGAAGACAGCCAACTCTGCATCCAAGACCAAGACCTGTAATCCAAGTCCAAGAATTTTACTTTTTAGACCGATAAGTTGAAATCCTGTAGACCAACACAGACACCAAAACCAAACTATGAAAAATGAAGACCTACATGTATATTAACTGATTGCAGTTAGACTTTAATTAACCCTAATGTCCCAAGGGCTCTTTGGGGGGTCAAGGACCAAAAATACCACAGAATACTACATGTGTTGTGCACACTTGTATGGAAAGAAATGCACACTTCAGGTTACTACTCAGTAGTATTTTGTAGATTTAGTTGAGGTAAGGGTTCATGGATGTACGATCATTGCTCAAGCCCATAAAGTATCACATTAACCCTCCTATGCAAACATACATTCTGTGCCAAGTTGTCCTTTCAGTCAAAATCAATCGAGTGACTGTTTTCAACAGTCAAGAGCTCCCAGCCTACATAAAGCAGTATTGACTGGCTATGACTGTTCATGTAACTTGGTACAGCTATGCTTTGATTGTAGCTGATTGATAAGCCAGCTGTGCCTACCACTTGTCTGCTGACTGAATTTGACTACTTACAGTGCTTGCTTGAAATATGATCTCACTGTTAGTGCCTAGCCTGTGTAAAAGGCATGTGTATTTTTGTTGACTGCCTGTGACTTTTAGACAGCAGGAGGGTTAATAGATGTATGATCGTCGCTCATAAAGTATCACAATGAATACAATTAGACTGCAGTTGCACTAGCAACTGTGTCGAACTACAATGTATGACTAATACAAAATGCATCACCACGTTCATCAGATTAGTGTTTATCCAGCTGAAGATTCCAAATTCTCCTACAAGGTGAGTAAAAAAACTGCAATAATGCCAAGGAGCAATACTTTTCTCAAAACCAAGTTGAAATTTTAAACTTTTTATTCAAACCTTGTAAGAATGACATATATTCATCAGAAACCTTGTGTGAAAAAATGACGTTAATCGCATTTACCATTTGTGAACCTTTTTACTACGGTACCAGATTGACGTTTTTGTCTATGAGGCAACAGAATTTTGCATAAGGCCTACATAAAAATAAGAATTTTTGAATAATCAAGACGTGGAATGATGGTTATTTGAATCACACGATGATGGGGACGTATCGTTCGATTTCTAAACCAGGAACCAGAAGCTTCGTTGTTGGGAGCTCTTAAAGTTGATTTTTTCACAAAACTTGCTTTGAAAACCGATAGTATGTTGGGAAAAAAACTTTCACTATTAAAAATATTAAATCGATCTTTTTAACAAGGGGAACTTGTTTAGTGCAGCTGGGCCTGCCAAAGGAATGCTTCACTTTCGTATTGTGACAGTTGATTGACTTCAGTTGAAAGGAGTACTTCACTTTAGTAATGTGAAAGTTGATTGACTTCAGTTGGTTGTAACCAGTTCGTCATAACCCGTAGCCTTGTCAACTCATTAAACTCCTCTGTGCATTAACCAAAGAGGGCGCTATTTACAGAAAGTCCCCCCCCCCAGCTACACCACAAGCATATGATGGTTCCTCTATTTCAATGGTTCCCATTTCACACTTATCCTGTAACATTTAAGAATGACTGAACACCAGGGAAGGCGGGGTTTGTGCAGAATATGCTCATTTTCCCTCACCTACGTGTACCTATCTTGAGGAGGTGGTTGTGCAAGCCCCTCCCCAATGAGCCACCTGTTATTCAATACTGCAAATACTACTGGACATTTTATCGAACATCAGCTCTACTTCCTTTTAGGTCAGAAAATTGAGTGGGATAAATTGTTAAAGTGTTTTATCAATGTTGGGATATTTTAGCCTTAAAGATTTGGGGTAGCAAGGGTGTTGAGCCCCAACAGAAAACAATTTGATGTGCTGTTTTGACATTTGGACCAAAAAGTTTTGATTTTTGACCAAAAAAGTATTTATGAATGGGAATAAATATGTACTTGGCCGGTATTAAACACTGTAAGACCAATTGGAGTCTGTAGGCTGATAATGACCCGAATATCAACATCCAGACTCCAACTGGTGTGGAGTGTTTAAAACCGGCCAAAACAAATCTTTTAACTCATGAAAATGTCACAGAAAGACTTTCTTGGAGATCTAATTATATTACTAGCATTCATGGCATTTCAAATGCAATTAATTCAGGGGGAACCCATAGAAAACAAGGATTGTATAAAACAAGAACAAGTCCCTAATGCCAAAAAAAAGTCTCCGGTTTCTGGTATGGAGCTTGCCCAAAAAGTGGTGCGGCGACGTGGCTTTTTTTTTTTTTTACCTGATTTTTTTTGCTTCAAATGTCGGCTGATGACTGCAAATGGTGCCCGACTAACTTAGTGCAAAAATATGGGAGTCCAGAGAGGCCACATCAAGCTTATTCTCGACCATACCCTATCTAAAAACACGTTAAAATTGTGCAGCAGCAGGATTCCAGTCAAACCAGTGAGTTTGGCGGTTTTGAGACATCATCTTTCATTGAAAAAACAACTTTTTCATTTTGCCGACGCGCATGGCTACGGCGACGCGCGCGCATACCAGAAACCGGAGACTTTTTGTTTTGGCTGAAGTGGAATGACAAAGGAAACAGCATGGAAGATACAGTAAGTTTAATACCATTACAATCTTTGCACAAATGTTATACATTTCCTTTTCAATTTTACATGGAAACAGCTGTCAGTAATATCTGTCTATGCCGGTAGTTCTATGTACAGCGTCATTTACAGACATGTGACAATCAGAAGAGTGTTTAAACTTAATTTATTTTACATTAGAAATCTGTTGATTTGTGGAAATCAAAATGTAGTGGTAGAAGGAGTTGGGTTATTTCTATAAAACAAAGTAAGCCAAGCCTCCCCCAATACAAAACTGACGTCAGTGAATACCAGTGTTTCTCATTTGTGTTTCTCAATGATAAATAAATTACTATTCAGCTTTTGGAATTTAAAGAAACTTTTGGAAGGAGGATTTAGTGCTGAA